AAAAAAAAAAACGCGCAGTTATTCCTACGTTTTGCTTTTTTTAAAAATGATTTGTATCCGAAAATAAAAATATAATAATAAAAAAAAAATAAACTTTTTTTTTATTTGAAAATACATGCAAAAAAAAAAACAAAAAGAGAATGAAAAAAAAAAAACTAAAATGTATAGCAGCAATAAATTATTTGCAATGATTGAAAATAAGACAAATTCCATTCTGTCAACACCTATCCATATCACAACACAACATCCAATCTTACCAAACATCAATGATAAACAAAGTAAGAAAAAAAAGACGGGAAAGAAGAAAATTAGTATAACTTCAATCAACACAATATAATTTGCAGTAAAAAAACACACACACACACTGATAAATATCGTAGCTCTTCTACAATCGTTCACATGTTCAAAGCATTTCGTAGCATAAAAGATAATTGAGACAGCATTCTAAAAAGCAATGTTTTGCCCGTGTAAAATTCAATACAATACATCCTCGTCAGCAAGTTAGTCTAATGACATCGAATTTTTCTAAAATATCATATCATTTTCATTGTTCGCTCATCAGATTTTCAGCCAATAAACAACAGTCAAATTCATAACAGTTAAAACGATGAAAATTTCACTCTAATTTACATGGTTGATTGAATTTGTGATTTTGAGCTTAAATTTTGGCATAACATTGATTATTAGCTGAACAAATACATGTAATACGGTTAAAACTGGCATATAACATTTGACTAATAAATTGCTTAAAAGTTTCTTCTCTTAACATAATCTGGAGATAATCGTTTAAAAGTAAAAAAAAAAATTGAGTTTTTCCCAATATCCATCTGATTTTCGACATTAATTTATATTATTTTTCTGCGACTACCTGTGCAGCGGCTATTTAAGACCTAAGATTGCACTTAGATCACGTTTTGCCATTGGCAGTTCTGCTCGAGGAACTTCTGGACCTATGCACCAGTCATCATTCTGTACCATTTCTGGACAGTGTGTTGGCGGATAATAATTTTTACCGATTCGAAGGCATGCAGCAAAGCATTCATGAGCAATAATGTCACGTCGTGATGTACAACTTTCTGGTATCACAGTTCGATTATATTGCTCACAACGTTCCGTAAATGCCATTTTTGCATTACCGTTCAATGTCGGTGCTCGAAGGCTTTCCAAGCAGTCTTCTTTGCATTCTTTTGGTGTTAGGTAATAACAGCACTGATCCACTTGAAAAAAATTAGCTATACTTTTTTCAATATTTTTAATTAAATTTAAATTTTTTATTATTATTCTAAATGTTTCTAGCTCATATTTTTCCCCTCAAATAATGCAAAAAGAAATAAGTGGCTATAGTGGAATGTATCGTCATTCACCATTACAATATACAAAATATATCTGCTCTTACAGTATTATAATTTTATCACTAAAAAATATAAATTTGTTTAAAAGAACTTCGGCAGTGTAAAAAAAAAAAAAAGAACTTAAAAAAGCAATTGGTGCAAATGCTATGCTAAATTGTAATGAGTGTTTTCAAATTGTAGCATCGTTATATCACTAAAGATGCAAAGAATGGTACCGACATTAACAAGCTGAATGATGAACAGTTGTTGCCGCTGCTATTATTTGAAAAGTTCCTGATTATCAATAAACCTTAATTAGATTTTAAAATAAAAAAAAAAAAAAGCTGGAATGGTTGAAAATGTATCATCGACAAAATGATCTATTGCACTATCAAAATTTTCGCTCCATAATTTCAATTTTTATTGCTGGTCAACTGAAGCTCCACGGTGTCTATTGTAGTTTTTTTTTGAAAATTTCTCAAACAAATGTCTTTCATCTAAGGGCATGCGTTCCTTTTCAACCTTTACACTCAACCTTGGTAGGGTCTGCCA